TTTTTTTAAGATTAAAAAATGTACACATTGCCCATGCGGCTTATAGAAGCGCAGCGACCTCTTGCCAAATTGGTGTTGGAAAAATTCAAAGCCGTTTTCTCAGCTAACGAAGGCTTGGAGACAATAAGGGGTGTGGATAAAATTATAAAGGGCGAGGAAAACGCACTTATTTTTGATAATATGAACGTTTCAGACGTTCCTTATTTAAATTGGGCTCCACTTGTATCAGTTTACGTCGAGCACACATTTAGTATATTCAAGGCTTTTCTTCGCGAAAATCGAATGAAAATGCTGCCAGAAAACTTCAAAATGCATCTTGTGGTTCAATGTTACTACAACTATACAGATTAAAGTTTTATGAGTTAGAAACCCGAAAGGATAAAATAGTCAAAGATTCAAAGTACAAATTTTTCATATAATGAAACTAGTTCATAGCTTTTCTCTTTTTACTTGTAATATAAACATTTCTAAAATAAATGTATTTTTTGATTGTTCTTCGTATTTTCTGTCTTTTTAGTGCCTTATTTTGCTTTTTTTGCAATACCTAGTGCCTTTTCCTGCCTTTTTCGCTATTTTGTTTTGCCTTTTTTGCAATACCTAGTGCCTTTTCCTGCCTTTTTCGCTATTTGATTTTGCCTTTTCCAGCCTATTTCGTTATTTTATTTTGCCTTTTTTATAGGTTTTTTGGTCCTAAAAATCCGTTCCCTGGTGATGACAATTATTGAAATATTAGCTTATGTAGGCTTCATACAAATTACATATTAAAAAATACGACATGTTTTGCCATCTTAAGGACAGCTCTGTAATCGTGTTCTATGTTAATTTAAAAAGTGGTTTGCTTTTCCTGTATAATTTCCAAATCGTTAGATACGAAGGTAACTAAAGCTCGTCGTGTGGAATTTGTAGTGATCAATCGTCATTTACATACGTCGATTATAGCTTTAACGAAGCGAGATTTCGTGTTCGGGGAAACCTTCTTCGTATTTGCTACTAAAACCCTTTTCGTTTTTGGGCCGAGACCAAAAAAACTTCGCCTATTGCCTTCCACTTTTTCAGAGTTCCGTCAGTTGTTCACCCGAAATGTAAACAGGACCTTCTGCAATTGGCTCTTCCTTGTGATCGTGGCCGCCCTTGATTTCGTTGTCCAGCCATATTTGCCGAATCAATACATATTTTAATATTTCCAGTCAGCGCAAGCGCTTCACATTGAATACGTTCTTATAAACCTCATAAAGTTCGTCGCACGATTTTCTTCGGTATCCGTCGTCTACGCTAACATAAGTTGTGTTTTCATATTCTCCAGAATAAAATATCCAGTAACTTGCCAGTAACCAAATTTCGGAGAGTAAGCCAATATTTACTCCCAATGAGAGAAAATTTGAAAGAAAGTACGAAAGTGTAAAACCAGCAAGAAGTTCCAAGTTTTATGAACAGCTGATTAATTTGTTATTTTCCGAAGCAATTTTCTAAGAAAAATAGTATTTCCCATTTTAATATATATTTAAATAGGTTTATTTTGCCAATTGCAATTCTATAAGCACCACAAACAATTCTTTTGGTAATGCGAATCGCATTAAGCATCATGCCATCAGCTATTTTTCTTACTAGCAAATAGTTACTAGTAAAAATTCATCCAGTAAAACTTGCAAGCTCAGCTGTCATTTTTGCTCTCTCAATTCTCTCTCTTTTGTTGCTTGCTTGCAAGTTTTTGCGTACGAAAATGCCATACAGTAAAATCCAATAAAACTAGCACTGGATTTTACTAAATAATGCGTACGCGAACAGAGCTATAGAATAATTCTTTCGAAAGCCTCACATCTTTTTCATATTTGTTCGATATCGTCCACGTTTCTGCCCATTTAAAATTGCGCACATGATATGGGATTTGTAGAACGTGATCCTTGTTCGCCGGGTGACCTTCATTTAGGGCCGTTTGCACCTTGTCTAGTTAGTTAGAGTTAACTAGACATCCTTCAGTTAAGCACTGCTTTGTCGATCGCACGTTATAGGCTGGGTGTCGATAACGATGTTTAGCTTGGAGTTAGAATTTACCCGTCATGGTGCAAACGGCCCTTAGTGAAAGTCAAGAGCTTAGCCAAGGCGAATTTATACAAGGTGGTGTAGACTCTCGCCGCGGTACTTCTTAATGTCAAAATGATGTGTTTTTGTAAAATGAATTCGCCTTGTTTACAACAAACACATCATTTTGACATTAGGAAGTACCGCGGCGAAAGTATAAATTCGCCATCAACACCACCTTGTGTTAATTCGCCTTGAGCTTAGCATTTTTTTTGTTTCCGCTGCTCTTAAGCTTCTATCCAGCTTTTCTTTTGCACCGAGGATACTACACACACGGTGGAGAGAATACAGAGGTGGCGCAGATGACGATACCGCTACTCGGCTCTCAGTGATTTTGACAGAATCAGCTGTTTTGGTGACGTCATAGTAGAGAAGACAGCAGTAGTGATGTGCTGAGTCAATACTTTTAAGTACCCAATACTCTCGATACTCGGTACCGAAACATTTAGGTTTCGAATAAAAGCGCACATAGGCCAAAAATATGGAAAAAACGCCTAACAAAACCCGAATGTAAGAGCCAATAGAGATTTTTACTGATTCAAATGAAAGATGTATATATGTCGGTTCGATGCCATAATACAGAGAAACCCTTACTTGTTTGAAGCATTTTTGTTCCAGCTGAATCGGACGATATCATTTTTGTAGGCCTGGGACAGATTCTGTAACCAGTTAACGACAATTTTCGAATCGGTATCGGTTTTGTCGACGTTTGATATCAAATATTTGTAAGTCAACAAGTGCGATATCGATCCGAAACTTGTCGCTAACTGGCTACAGAATCTCTCCCCTGAAAGGCTTCTTCATCCGTCAAAGTATTTTTCTTGAACCTTGGATCGACTAAGGTTAAAACTGATAAAATAATATTTTTCTGTGGCGATAAGTTCAAGTGTTTTAGCCGATATCATATAAATTAGTAATGAAAGTTTTTTCTAAACCTGAAATGCATATAATGGCGAGGGTTTAATGTAAATAATCGGTATCGGATACCGAAAAGGAAGTATAGGGTACCGAAATCTGTTTTTAAGTATTGGGTACCGAGTATTGGGGACAATTCAGCACATCACTAGTCGCCCTCATTCTCGCCGCTCTCAGTTGTCAACTCTACGATGACGTCACGCTAAAATTACTCTCACGAATTCTGCTGCAATCGGCGCAATCTTGTATTATATCATTCTTGTACTACACATTTCAGCAGCAGTATCAGTTAATGTAAAGGCTCTGTTATGCATACTTGGCATTGCATGCACTGCTATACCATTTTTACGTAGAAATCAAAAACCAACAGACTTTTACGTATGTAATGCTGTGCGTTGGGTAACCGCTTACACGCGAAGCTCATTTAACAGATTCCTTATGTGACAACTCTCAAGCAATGCCAAGTATGCATAACGGAGCCTTAAGGCTCTTTGTATACAAAGCTACGCAAATCTTTGCTACAAATCTCTATACCTACATACGTCGCGAGTTCCTTGTAACACACGGTCCGTACCAGGGATTGGCAAAGGGTGCTGTTTTTGTGACTTTAAGCCTACTCACGTTAAAAACGGAGGATGAACAAACACCACCGCAAAGCGTGCTGTCTTGCAAATACAGCCCCCACAAGTGAACGATGCTTATAAAAGCTCATACTGATATTAACTTCGGCAAATCTGTACTCCGAATGATCGTGCACGAAACCAGCAACCGCCGTATTTGATCGACTGCCAAAAGCACGATACTGCTTTGGACGGTTGCCGAAAGCATGACAACTTATGTGAAAGACTGGCGAAGGCAAGATGCCGCAGTTAGCTAACTTGATTTGTTGCAGAAGTCAAACCGCCGCCTTTGGTTTGTTGCTGAAGGCTCGTTTGACGTGTTGCCGAAGTGATGATACTGTAGTTCAAAAACATTCAAAGACACTCTGCTTGTTTGAAATGAAGCATTGATATGTACATACATACGTACTTACATACGTATGCATATTCACAACTAGCCAGCAGTGAGCAATGCAATTGAATGGTAGACGCGCTATAAATACATACATACATGCATACGAGATGATAAATTACCCTTTACCACATTCGTCGTCATTTCAGCAACAAGTCAGATGATTTTCAGCAACAAGTCAGATGATTTTCAGCAACAAGTCAAATGGCTTTCAGCAACAAGTCAGATGATTTTCAGCAACAAGTCAAACGACTTCTGCAACAAATGATGACTCTCATGTTTTCGGAGCCGTTCAACTGCCACGTTTGCTGGTTTCGTGCACGATCATTCAGAGTACAGATTTGCCGAAGTCAATATCAGTATGAGCAGTTATAAGCATCGTTCACTTGTGGTGGCTGTATTTGCAAGACAGCACGCAATGCGCTCGTGTTCAGTCATCCTCTAATTTCGTTTAGGTATCGATACTACTAAGCCAACGCCGCTGCTCAGTCATACAAGGCAGCGGTATTGAATGAGTATGAACAGTTGACGATCAACCAATGCCAATCCCTGGTCCGTACACACGTCTTTGAATCGTAAGACTCGAGTTTCTATTCGGTCACTCCGGCTAACACGAATTTACAAAATGTCTTCAAGTGAAATCTCGGAGATCGCGCAACTAGTGTCGGCGACAAATGAACAAAACGTTGGTGGCATGTGTCTGCGGACGAACCTCTATGAACTTGTATTGCGGTAGTCGACTAAAATCGTCGAGTATCGAAGATTTGCGTAACCTTGTGTACGATGGGCCTAAGCGCCGTCGAAAGCGTGATCGATTTGGGTAATTCTCAGCTTTGTATTTAGTTTGTGTCTGGGAACTATTAATCCTGTTGTGCTGATCTCGTCCAATTCATTTAAATAAGTTTTGAGTTGCTAAACAAAATATGCATTAAAAAAATTATTGTTTTTTCCATAAAGAATAAACAGAACCTTATTCACTCTTTTGTTTTATTTAGCATATTTGTGGAGCACGAATTCAATGAGCTCGAAGACATTTGGTTTACATTGGCCCCAAATTTGACCGTTCAATCAATTGAGGTAATTCAAAGTAATCAATAAAATAATCGAAGTTATTCAAATATGTATTTGGATTTCAAAATCTCATTTTAATACTTAGATTCTTATGGATCGTTGTCCGGAATTGCAATCGGTTGGACAGCTGAGTGGATGGTCTTTGACACCAGATGACTTGGCACTGATACGGGGTCTATTGAAGAGTGGCAACTCCTGTCTTGTACTTACACCTAACGGTTTTTTCCCCTAAAACCACTAATTTATACTAAATCTCATCTTAATGATTTAATGGGAATCTGCAGTCGCGGAGAATAATTGAATTAGGCGTAGCTTTAAAAGCAATTTTTAAAAGTAAATTTTTTTGTAAAAAATAGTAATGGAAATTTTTGTTTATTTTGCTTACCTAGTACTGTTTAATACGAGCGCATATGGACTGATATATGTGTATTCAAATTTTTTAATGTGTTGTTAAAGAACTACTTAGTGACTTTCCCCACTTTTCTGCGACTACAGATTAACAATAGGGGTATTATTGAAGTCTTGCAATAACAAGATACAGCAAAAAAATGAAGTGAGCGAAATGAGAGGAATGAGAGAAATATGTAGCCATTCCAACAACAAAACAACTTGCACAGGGTTGCATTTTTCTTGCTATGCTTTTTTCAAAATATGTATATACATGGGTTTCGGCGTTGCATATTTTGCAGCGATAGGAAATGTTGTTTCTCATGTATTTTGTTGTCGTGTGTTTGCAAGTTATGCAATCCATGCTAGGTGCAATGGCTTTGCAAGATTTCGAGAATACCCCTAATAACAGCCCAACATCAGTTGCTTTACGCTAACCCATAAACGTATTTGACATTCACATTTACCTCATTGCAAAATTATTTCAACGTTTGCAACATGCATGTTAATGGCCTGTATGCAGCTCTCAAGAAAACGGTCAAGAAAAGATTGTAATTATTTCGTGTGTGTATCCAAGGAATTTTGACGTTTTTGATACTTCACAGCCTGTTGCCTCACTCTTTCCTCAAGGAATAATGGAACGGGCACATATTTTTGTTGCAAACCTGGGTTACCTTGTGCTTTTTTACCCGAAATTTTTTTAGAAAACCGTAGTAGAAAGCGTAGCAAATTTCTTAAGAACTGCGTACTGCCTTAAGCCCTGTATGCAGCTCTCAAGAAAACGGTCAAGAAAAAATTGCCATTATTTCGCGTGTGTATCCAAGGAATTTTGACATTTTGATACCTCACAGCCTGTTGCCTCACTCTTTCCTAAAGAAATAATGGAACGGGCATATATTTCTGTTGCAAACCTGGGTTGCCTTGTGCTCTTTTTTCACAAAAAACTTTAGAAAACCGTAGTAGAAAGCGTAGTAAATTTCTTAAGAACTGCGTACTGCCTTAAGGAAATTTGACTCAAGAAAATTTCTTAGCCATTTCTTGTACGTCATTTTATATGGAGTTTTTGCTTTTCTTGAGAGCTGCATACAGGCCTTAACACAGGAAAATTAATAATATGCATGTACTTAGATTCATATTTTATAATACAATAGTTCTTTTCGCTATGCACATGCCAGTAGGTAACAAAATTCAGAGAATAAGGTATCTTACTCTCCCAAAGAGAGAAACTTACTAAGTTTTGCGCGAACAGGAATTAGCAAACATTTGCAAGCTTCACTGCCAGCTGGAGTCTACGGTTGCATTTCAAGCATAATACATTTTTTAAATTATTTCAGGTGGAAGCCAAAACAGAACCTATACGTATACACATTTCTTCTTATTCTGACTTTCTGCAACATACGCTTCAATTTCTTTGCAGAAGCCACTGTCGATTTTCCTATATCGACAGTGGTGTCGACTGCGTTCCGATTACGAATAAAGCTTTTTCAGCCGAGTACCTTTCAAATGTTTGGGATTAATTAAATTAATTGAATAAAAAAATATTTGCATACTTCTTTCATTAGTTAATCGCAACAAGATTGTCCATTTTTAAATTTAACGACCTTGTTGATTCAAATTAATGTTAACAAAAATGCAACCGTGTGCCACAATTGCTGGCAAAAGTTTTTCAGCACGCATTTGCAACTTCCCTCCAAATGAATTGTCAAAATTGCGCTCTCTCCTTGCAAGTTTTACTGGGTTTTTGGCTAAAACGAACACGATTTGGTAACAATTGGTACCAACACGTACAGGTTTTTTGCATAGCGAACACTCTTAATTACAACGTTTAATTGTATTCATGTCTTAACATTAGTTTTTGCTATCACTGTGTTAAACTCCATAATATTTATTAGAAAATAAGGCAGCAATAAGGCAATTGGTTTCAAAACCGGGGCTGGTTTCTTGATAGACGAGGGTGGAAATCCGATTACAAATGTCCTGAGTAAACACTTAAAATTTGAAGGGCCCACTTCTCAATGGAAACAATGGTTGGACATTTGGTGAATAAATTTACGTATACTATACTCGACCAAGACGAGTTGAGAAAAGGTAGAATGATGCAGAGCTCTGAAGATGCTGACATTTCAGCTGAGTTATTGAAAGCGGGTGTCAAAGAACTAGTCGGGTGCATGTACTAGTCGTTATAGAGCGAACACTTAACTACAGGCTGAATGGCAGCAATAGCGAAAACTACGGCGCTAACGAATATCCGGAGCACCCAATCAAAGACGACGGATTCGATGTCACTTACTGGCCGTCTCCACACGGTATCCGATAATTTGCCAGCTGAGCTATTCGAATAGCGCATAGAGTAGTGATGTGCTGAATTGTCGGTACCCAATACTTATAAAAGATTTCGGTACCCAATACTTCCTTTTTGGTACTCGATACCAATTCTTTACGTTAAACCTTCGCCATTATATGTATTTCAAGTTTAGAAAATACTTTCATTACTAATTTATATGATATTGGATAAAACACTTGAACTTATCGCAACAGAGAAATATTATTTCAACATTTTTAACCTTAGTCGATCCAAGGTTCAAGAAAAATGCTTTGACGGATGAAGAGGCCTTTCAGGGGGAGATTATGCAACCAGCTAGCGACAAGTTTCGGATCGATATCGCACTTGTTGACGTAAAAATATTTCGTATCATTCGTCAACAAAACCGATACCGATTCGAAAATTGTCGCTAACTGGTTACAGAATCTGCCCCCAGGCGTACAGAAATGATATCGTCTGATTTAGCTGAAAAAAACAACAAGTAAGAGTTTCTCTGCATTATGGCCTCGAACTGACATATAAACATCTTTCATTTGAATCAGTATTAAAAGCTCTATTGGGTCCTACATTCGGGTTTTGATAGGCGAGTCTCCCCTGAACCTTTTTTTTCATATTCTTGGCCTATTGCGCCTTTATTCGAAACATATATGTTTCGGTACCGAGTATCGAGAGTATTGGATACATTTTAAATCGGTACCGAATATCGATCGATTGACTCAGCACATCACTAGCATCGAGAAGCTAGTGAGGTGCACATAAATAATGCACAAACTTTTATTCGAAATATGGTCTGACGAAAGTACACCTACCGATTGGAATTTAAGCGTGCCCTGCCTAAGATGGGTGACCCATAGTAAAATAATATAAAGTATACCAGGTAACTGACGTCTTCATATTTGAAGTTAAATTTTGATTTTGTTATTATTTTTTCTTTCATTTCTGATATTCGCTTTTTTCAAATCTGGCGGTAACCCTTGGTTTTTTTTTGCATACCTGTGTCTAATTTCGGCTCAGATCCTCATCCTTCCGGACTGAAAACATCAGTACTGCAACGCTATGTGTGCTTTTGCACAAGCGACAAGATTTTCTTGATATTTTTTCTTTAATATCTTATACAAATCAAAAAAATGCATACGTTCTCACTCAAAAGGATTAACGTTAAAGTCAAATCAAAGAAAAATTTGTGATGATAAATTTTCAAATAAGAGTACCGAAATAGAATGTCATTGCTATCTGGCACACTTTATATTATTTCACTATGGGGCGACCAAAATGTATTCAACAAAGTGTGATTGATTTTGACATTGCTCTCATAAGAAACAAGCTATAATGTCAAACTGAAATGAATTCTTAACCCATTTGAATTTTTTTTTTCAAATTTGAATTTGTTTAAAAAAAAAGTTACACACAAATTTTTTAAGCAACAAATTTTCTTAATAAACGTGAAATTGTTAAGAGATAAACCGCCGAGGAGAGCAAGTAAGTACGTTTAAAGTTGGGTAATAAGTAAATACGTTCGACTTTTCTTATATATTTAATGTAAGGAAACCAAGATGAAACGGAGCAAAACGTTTGAACGGTGCGCTGTATGCAATAAAAGTCAGGACACGAAATTAGTACGATGTTTTAAACCACCTAGTTGTGAATTAAGATGGCAGCAATCTGCAGAAAGCTGTGGTGTTGTACTACGTGTTTCATCTCGCGTTTGTGAAAACCACTTCAAGGAAAGTGATTTCATTAGTTGTCCGTCCGAATCAAGCACTTTCAAACGAGCTCGTTTATACCCAGGCGCAGTCCCAATGCCATACGAAATAACTGAAACAAGTGAGGATTTAGAACGCGATCAGGATACATTATTTGTTGATGTCCAAACTCAAACAGGCCAGTCTTTAGAATGCACGTTGAGAACAGAAATATTTCTTCTTACCGAAATAATCAAAACCATGCAAGCAAGTATGGAAGAGCTTAATTTAAAACTGCTTGAAGCAAAGTCTTTAATGGAAAACTATTT